GGAACCATATCAAAAGCCTTGGAGACGTCCCGGTAGACAACGTCCACCACTCGCTCCATGTCAACCGAGCAGGTCAGTTTATCATATAATGCCAGCAGATTTGTCAGGCACGATCTGCCTTTTGTGAAGCTGTGTTGGCTTTTCCCAATCACATGCTTCATTTGACTCGTGACGGCCCCCAGGAGGATCCGTTCCATGACTTTCACGGGGACTGAAGTAAGACTGATGGGCCTATAATTACCCGGATCGTTCCTTGAGCCCTTCTTGTAGATAGGGGTAAGCCAAAAAGAAACCACAGCAAAAGGTGAACATTACGATATGAGAAAAGGGTTCAAATAACAGTTAGTACAGAGAAGTACAGAAGATTATTAAATGCCTTCCTTGTTGGAGTCTCCAGAAGGAGGGAAACTGTGGTCAGATAAAGGTCTTTCTGCCCAGGGAATGATGTGCAGGCGTGAGCTCTCCTTGCTGATGTGACCCTGCCCACACGGTGCTCGAATGCATTTAACGGGATCTGCCAAGAACTACAGCTCACCAGCTCAAGCACTGCAATGTGGCTGGGGCTGGCCTCCAGCCAGCTGGCTCCCAGTGGGAACAAAGTTGAAGTCTGCCCGCAATCAGCTTTGTGAACATGCCCAAAATTAATTTTGACATGAAGATAAGACTACAGGGCAAAGTACAGGAAAAAAAAAAACAGGAAGAGAAATATTTATATGAGGTCAGACAGTTCAGGCTAGAGGCCTGATGAAATTCAGCACAGAACACTTAAGGAATTACTGTATTTTCATGTGGGTAAACTGTGTTTATTTGTAGAAAACAAAAAAGTCTCACCTAACTAAAAAATGATTCCTGGTTCCCCAGCACTGTGAGTTATATGCATATGTAAATATTATGATGATTTTTTTTCCTCTGGTACTTCTCTTTCTCCTCTATCTCTAACTCTCTGTAGTATCTAACTGGCAAGAGTTATCAAAAGCATTGGATTATCTGCATGATGTTTAAAGTGGTGCAAGTTACCTGAAGGGCAAGTTATACATGAAAAAAATATTCATTCAAGTAACCTTTGAAACATGGGCAGTTATTTAAAAAAAAAAAAAATCTCATAAGGCAGAGAAGCCTCAGAAGACTACAGCAAGTGGAAGATCTACCTTTCTCAAAAAAGGGGAAGAGCTGAAACTTCCTGTATTCTAATCTTTCTAGATCTAGTGTCCA